GATGGAATGATGAAAACGAACTAAACGAACGAACAACTTACGTACTGAGATATTAAAAGTAGAGATTATAAGATAAGACGAGTGAGTAACAATTAACAAGATGGACAAATACTGAATGGAAGTTAAATACAACAACGAACTTAACTACAGGCTAGGAGAGGGCATGTATGCATGCAGAACAAATGCTGCCGCCCACTTCCAACATTACACTCGTGTACATCGTATATACATGGCAAGAAAATCACAAACTTAAATTCTTGTGTTTTTCTCTTTGCAAACACATGTACACGCACAAATCACCACTTACAATCTTACATACCGATATGTATCCGTAGTTCTTATTACATTAGACAACAATAAATTGGGATAAATTAATAACACAACATATACAGTACACCAAAAACCAATGATAACTCTCCAACAACATTACCAGTATTTTCAGGATCCTCCTTCCCACTTGCATGCAACATTCATGCATGCGGATGCACTTTCTCATGTCTTGGTGATGTTGAATTTACCTCCCATATCCCCACAAATCCATCTCCCCACCTCGTTGCCCGGAGTTCATGGCGCTCATCTGCTGTACTGCAGCGGCGCCCCCGCCGTTGCTGAACCCGTCCATCGGCTGCCACTGCTGATCGGCTGCACCGTTTGTCTGATCTCTTCCTTCGGCCAGCCCATCCGCCGCGACGCCGTCGCTGCTGCCGACGTCCAGGCCAGGGTGCTCGACCGGCAGGCTGGAGAAATCATACCCGCCGCCAGCTGCGTCGGCGGCCGGCCGGTGGTTGGTGAGGAGGTCCTGGACCTGCACGTGGTGCGAGTAGGCCGCCTCCGGTGGTTGCATCTGGGAGTAGTAGAAGGAAGAGGCGTGCTGGGGGTGGTACTGCGGGTGCATCCCGTGCATGTAGTGGGATGCCATGGCGGCCCTGTCAGCGTGGTCGTGGCCACCCAGCGGCGAGGACACGGCCATGTGGCCGCCGCCGGCGTCCGCGCTCTGGCTCGAGCTCCCCTCGCCGCCTCCGGCGATCTTGAAGAAACACTTCTTCTTGAACACGCGGCACACCACCCATCCATCCTCCTGCATGCGCCATCAACACGAAACACCATCAACCCCGGCCCTATTGGCAACGCGCGCGAATTGCATGCATGCATGCACACACAGTTCTACTACTACACGGGAAGTGATTTCAAGACGGATCGTTGAGGGCTTACGCTGGTGCCGCCCTGGGCTTCGTCGATTTCCTCGAGGCGGTACTCGTGCATGATCCAGTCGGACTTCTGGCCGTGTGGGGCGCGGCCGCGGTAGAAGACGAGCGTCTTGCGCATCCCGATCTTGCGGTAGCTGGTGCGGATGCACTTGTCCCTCCCCGTTGCCTTCCAGAACCCGGCCGTCGTCGCGCGGTTCGTCCGCGACCCCGTCGGGTACTTGCGGTCCTTGTGGCTGAAGAAGTACCACTCGTTCTGCGGCGCAGACCCGATCCGGCATCTCTCTGCATCATAAGAAATCACCATGCATATCATGTTAGCAATAGGCAATAGCACAGCACAGCAAATCACACTCGGTGGATAATTCAGCGCAGACATGTTAAATTAGCTAACACGTAGTACCTTGGAGGTCCCATGGCTCGATCTTGTTGAGGTCGACCTCCCTGATGACCTCGAGGTCGAACTTTTCGAAGCCGATCTTCTTCTTGAGGTAGTAGAGCAGCAGCTCCTCGTCGGTAGGGTGGAACCGGAACCCCGGCGGGACGCCGTTGCTGGACGAGAAGTCAGCCATCGTCGATCGATGCACGCAAAATTTGCGAAGTAGCTAGCTAGCTAGAGCTTTCTTTGACGCGGGAGAGGCCTGTAGCATGTATATATACGCGTGGCCTCCATGGCCAGGGCAGGTGCACCAAGTACCTAGCTAGCTAGCTGCGGGCAGGAGGGTGAGAGTTGACACGCCGGCCGTCACGGCACCGGACGGGGGCAAAAGTTGGTCACGTAGGATGCAAGGGAAGGCCATGATCGTCGAGGCCTGCGCGCGCGGAGCTAGACAGTCAGCTGCATTATTCTACGCCGTTAACGATCCCGAGGCTGGGAGCAGCCTTTGTTTACGGATCGCTTGATTGCTTCCAAAGCAAGTCCTAGCTAGCTTGGGGAGAGCTGCTATCCACTGATAAAAAATAATCTTAGATCCACTGTATACGTGTACATGCAATCTCTTTGGAATTTTTGGAAAACTCGGAGGGAGGGGAGAGACGCATTCAATTGGTTTTCACTTTCGGTTCAGTGAGATTTCAACCGAATTCACTGGATTTAAATAATCTTATTTAGTAGATATTGAAATATTTACCTTTCGGCCGTCAATGAACTTCAGCCATTTCAGTAATACACAAGAATTGGGGTGAAAATCAACTTCTCTAAGAGCGAGGCTCTGGTCATTGGGGTGACTGAGCAGGAGCAATCTCGGGTTGCTCGATTGTCAGTGCGGGACGTTCCCTTTCAAATATTTGGGCCTCCCTATTGCTCCTTTCAAACTTATCCCTAAAGATTTTCCCCCGCTTGCTACTAAGGTTGGCAATCGTGTTATGCCCTGGCGTGGCAGGTACAACACCTGTGCGGGCAAAGTTTGCCTTACCAATGTCGGTCTCTCTTCCCTTCCTATGTTCACTATGGGCTTCCACCGTCTCACGGATGGGACTCATGCGGGCTTCAAACAAGTATAGGGGTGCCTTCTACTGGAATGCTGCTGATAATAGTCGCAAATATCTTCTAGTTAAGTGGCTGCACATGTGCCGCCCTAAGGCCCATGGGGGCTTGGGCATTCTAAATACCTCCATCATGAACAAGTGCCTTATTATTAAGTGGTGGTGGAAGATATGCACTTCAGGCCCAGACTCTCCGCGGTTTAACCTGCTGAAAAACAAATGCTTTCCCAATTCTAGCCCCCCTTTCGCTTCGGCTGAGGGTGGCTCTTAGTTCTAGCGTGACCTGGTAAAAGTTCATGATGATTTTAGCGCACACGTCAAGTTTGTTGTGGGGAATGGATCGTCTATTCGGTTCTGGCTCGATTGGTGGTGTAGGGACGCCCCCTTAGCGGTTTCCTTCCCTACTCTATTTTCCTATTGTTCTTCTCCAGATATCTCAATCTCTGAGCTCTCCCGTGCGGTTGGGACCTTGGTTTCAGGAGAACCCTTTCCCAAGAAGAGTTGGGTGAGTGGCAACTGCTTCCTGCTAAATTCCCTGTTCTCTCGGAGGAGGCTGACTCTGTTACCTGGCCACACACTTCCTCTGGTAGATTCTCTGTTAAATCGCTTTATCGGCGTCTTATCTGTGGCTCCCCTACTAACAATAAGGACGTCTGGAAAGCTAGGGTGCCCCCCATAAGAATAAAATGTTCCTTTGGCAGGCCATAGGGGCCGGTTGCCAGCAGCAGATCAGATTAGGAAAAGAAACGGGCCTGGGTCGGACCTTGTGCCCTATGTAATGACTTGGAAAACTCTCACCATGTGTTCTTCGGCTGTGTCCTTGCCAAGCTGGCATGGGCCTGTATCCGTGATTGGCCGGGAGTTTCCTGGGCACCGTCCTTGTTCGCTGAGTTGAGGCCCATTGCTTCTTGGTTGATGGGGCTTAAGAAACGTCTCTTCTGGGTGGGATTCCATGCGCTCTATTGGGCCCTTTGGACTACCAAAAACAAATTCACTATTGAGCATGTTTTCCCTAACAAGACAGCTGGTTGTTTGTTTAAAACATTGAGTTTTGTGCATCAGTGGAAATTATTGACTAAGGATGATGATCGTGTTGCCATGGAGTGTTGGAAATATGCCCTAGAGGCAACAATAAAGTGGTTGTTATTATATTTCCTTGTTCATGATAATCGTTTATTATCCATGCTATAATTGTATTGACCGGAAACTCAAATGCATGTGTGGATACATAAACAACATGTCCCTAGTGAGCCTCTACCAGACTAGCTTGTTGATCAAAGATGGATGTGGCTTCCGGGCCATAGACATGAGTTGTCATTTGATAACGGGATCACGTCATTATGAGAATGATGTGATGGGTAAGACCCAAACTATGAACGTAGCATATGATTGTGTCAAGTTAATTGCTATCGTTTTCTGCATGTCAAGTATATATTCCTATGACCATGAGATCATGCAACTCATTGACACCGGAGGAGTACCTTGTGTGTAACAAACGTCGCAACATAACTGGGTGACTATAAAAGTGATCTACAGGTATCTCCGAGGGTGTCTGTTGAGTTTGCATGGATCAAGACTGGGATTTGTCATTCCGTATGACAAAGAGGTATCACAGGGCCCGCTCGGTAATATAGCATCACAACCAGCTTGCAAGCAATGTGACTAATGAGTTAGTCACAGGATCTTGTATTACAGAACGAGTAAAGAGACTTGCCGGTAACGAGATTGAACTAGGTATGGTGATACAGACGATCGAATCTCGGGCAAGTAACATACCGACAGACAAAGGGAACTACCTAAGGGATTAGATGAATCCTTGACATCGAGGTTCGACCGATAAGGATCTTCGTATAATATGTAGGAACCAATATAGGCATCCAGGTCCCGCTATTGGTTATTGCCTGTAGATGTGTATCGGTCATGTCTACATAGTTCTCGAACCCGCAGGGTCTACACACTTAACGTTTGATGACGATATAAGTATAGTTGAGTCATTATGGTGGTTACCGAAGGTTGTTTGGAGTCCCGGATGTGACGAGGAACTCCAGAATGATCTACAGGTGAAGATTGATATCTAGGACGAAGGGCATCGGAGTCCGAAAGTGTTCCAAGGGCACCGGGTTATGGCCAGGATGACCGAAAGGGGTTTCGGGGGCCCCGACAAGTGTTGAGGGGGGCTCATGGGCCAAGGGGAGGGGGCACACCGGCCCACTAGGGGGTTGTGCGCACCCGCTCACTCCATCCCACATAGCTAGAGGAGGTGGGGGCGCCCCCTAGGGCTGCCGCCCCCCTTGCCTTGGTGGCCAAGCCTCCTAGGAGGGAGGCGCCCATACCCATCAAGGCCTTCCCCCTTGTGGCTGCCCCCCTTAGGGGAACCATAGGGTGCCCCTCCCTCCAGCCTCCCCCCTATATATAGAGGAGGGGAGAGAGGGAAGCCGCACCCATCTAGGCCATGACACTGCCCTCCCTCTTCCTCGTAGCACTCTTCCTCTCCATAGTGCTTAGCGAAGCACTACTGAGATTTCACCACCACAACCGCCACCACGTCGTCGTGCTGCCGGAGGACTCAAGCTACTACTTCACCATCGCTCACTGGATCGAGGAGGTGAAGGCGTCATCAAGCCGTACGTGTGTTGAACGCGAAGGTGCCGTCCGTTCGGCACTTGGATCAGGAGTTCGCGGGATGGGTCATGATTGGATCGCGAAGACGTTCAACTACATCATCCGTGTTTCTTAACTCTTCCGCTTAGTAATCTACAAGGGTATGTAGATGCAATCTCTCCTCTCGTAGATGTTCATCTTCTAGATTGATCTTGGTGAGCGTAGGAAATTTTTTGTTTCCCATGCAATGTTCCCCTTCATGGGGAGCAGATTTCCAAAGTTCGTGCGTCTGCTTCTCACCTTGCCCATCAGCCTGGCACCACTTGCGGCTACCCTCCGACCTTCTCTGGGATCTTCTTCATCTTCGCATGTTAGGTTGTCGGCCTTCGTGCCGCTTATTTTCACATGATGGTCGTGTACCCCTGGTCTAAATAATGTTCTGAGTGTGCTTCGACTGTATCTCTGTTGGTTGTTACTCTGCCTGGTGGCTTTATCTATAAAGTCAGGCATACGCCTTTCTCTAAAAAACGTAACACACAAGAATTCAAACAAAATTCTAAATGTTTTTCAATATTTCTAAATTTTTGATTGAATTTCAAGTGAACATTTCGGTCCTTTGGCTGAATTGCAAACTATAGTTCACTGAATTTTAGTAATTAGTTGTGGCTGAATTATTTCTGAAAACAAATTTCAAAACAAGAGAGAATTGAAAAAAGAAGGAAAACCTTAGTAGGCTTCAATGTGGATTTATAGATCAAGCGAGATCAGTGGCGGAAACAGCCACATGCATGCCGGGCCGTCTCCTGGGGCGTGAGGCCCAAGCTATAGTGCTATGGTAAATGAAGCCTGCCTGGGGCGGCCTGGGCCTTGGCCCAATCCTGGCACCGCCACTGAGCGGGAGTGTGCCATCTGCAAAGAATTCAAACTAATTTAAAGAAATAAAAAAATGGTTGAATTCAAAGTGTATGTTTTGATCCTTTGGCTGAAATGCAAACAAAAATCAACATATATATCACATTGTCCAAGATTCCGATAGATTCAAATATCAGGCATCTCTTCAACATGCCTTTATCACTCTAGGCATGCCAGCAATTCAATGCTCTAAATGACATGATTGGTAGCAGAATGGTTACAAATGAAAACCAAGACAGATGGACATATGTGGGGAACAACAAGAATTATTCATCTACGAAGATGTATAAAGCACTGATGGGAACAAGCATCACTCATCAATTATTCAAAATCCTTTGGAGCACCTCATGCAAACTCAGGCACAAAATGTTCTTCTGGGTGTTACTCCATGACACACATTGAATACTAGAAACATGTTGTCCCGCAAAAACATGTATCTAGAGGATTATAACTGTGCCTTTGTTCTCACAGGACCGAGGGAACTCTTTTGCATCTTTTTTGGAACTGTCCTTTTGCCCTTAGATGTTGGGATTTTCTTTTTTCAGGACAAACCTAGAGGCATTTCAGTCTTTGA